GTCCAATGGGCTTTTGCTGGTCCTTATCCTTCTACAACTTTTCCTTCCATCTTTTCTAATGATTTTTGTTTCCTTTTATTTGTGTTCTACTTTCTCCACTCTATCCCTAGGTGATTCCATCCATTCCCTCTGCTTCAAGTACCAGCAAAATAGAGGTGATGCCTAAATCTATATTTCCAGCCATTTTTCTCAAAGCTCCAGACTGACTTTTTAAGGGTCTGATATTACACTAAATATTAGTTATCTGTGCCTGGATGTCTTGTCAGTACCTTAAAATCAACATGTTTAAAGCAGAAACTGTCATCTTGACTGCTCAAATAACTATTCCTCCCAACTTTCCTATTTTTGTTAATGGGAATGATTTTCTCCCTTTTATCTAGGCACACTTCCCTCTCCTTCATCCAATTACCAAGTCTTGCCAATTCTTCCTCTTCAATGTCTTTTACATTCATTCTTTCTGCTCTGTTCACAATGTCATCCCTCCTAGTCTAGCCCCTTATTTCCTCTCCTCTGGACCACTGCAATAGCCTACTAATTGGTCTCCATAACTCTAGTCAACCTCTATTTCAGTCTATCCCTCATTCTGCTACCAGATTAATTTCCTCATGCAAGGTTCTAATGATGTTGCTTCCTGCCACTTTCTCACTGCCTGTCCAATGAAATTCAAACTCTTTAGCCTATCATCTAAGGGCCAATACAATCTGACCTCAATTTACCATCCAGTCTTCTCTCGTCAAACATGCAGAGGTTTCCACCCCTTGGCTCATGTGATTTGTTAGTCCAGAAATGCCTCTTCTTCATTCTTTACTCATCAAAATCATCTTCCCAATCCTTCAAGGTGCAATTCAAATGCTGTGTTCTCTGTTATTCTTCTATTTCACAAGCATGCATCAAAGGATCCTGGGCCCTTTCTCTGCTTTTTGTTTTTCAGTTACTATATTGAGTTTTAAATTTGTATTACTAACCTCCATCTGAACATTAAAGGGGGAAAAGGAATGGGAGAAAACAAGGCTGATGTTGAGCACAGAAGGTTCCTTTTCTTCTGCTTCTACTTCTTATTAGCATTTCACTTAGAAGTGACTTTTTACTTCTAGTATTGATCATCCTGGCCCAACACGGCAAATAGACTAGAGGAGGTTATTTGTCATTCACATGAAAGCAGACCATACTTTTACAGTCAACAATTGATTGGAAGGTGCTCAGGCTTTAAGATCCCAGATGTGCTTAACAGTTTTATTAAAAGTCATTTGGTTGGGAAGAACAAAATGCTACCTTAAAGTCTTTCATTCAACAAAGAACACTTAGGATGCATATGTTAAATCACACAAGATTCCATGAAGGATGTAACAGTTGAGACAATTGTTGAATAACCTTCCGATACTAAGTGAGGCATAAAACGGGATGCTATGTATTGGCCAAAGGTTTTTGCTGCTGTCATAGACACTGTCCAGTGAAAAGTCCAAATGGAAAAGGGATTTTCTATGGAGAGTGAGATACTCCAGATATTTACAACTTCAGATAACATTGTGCTGATTTATCAAGCCTTAAAACAATGCAGAGCCTTTCAGATGAAATCCATGATCATGCTAGAATTTGGTCTAAGTATACATGCAGGAAAAAAGCCAGGAAAAGGCAATTTTAGTAAAGTCACTTTAAAACTCCCATGGTGTCTGTGAAAAGAAAAATTCTGAAGCTGGAAAGGACCTTAAGAGATCATCTCTTCCAGTCCCCTCATTCTACAAAAGAGAAAATTGAGGCCCAGCTAAGTTTAACGATGTCCAAGGTTCACATCTAGCAAGTGGAAGCACATTATGCAGACTGTGGTATACAGTAGGATAGACAACCCAGAGCTGGTTCTCAGTATCTTGGACAAACATACAGATGGTCAAAGGATTGAGGAGGGGACGAGAGGGTTGGACTGTATTTGGGAGATCTGGCATTACTTTAAAATACCATGAATTGAGATATCTGAATAGTTACACTTATGAAATAGCGTTAAGGTTCAAAACTTCTTTCCTTATGTTTTCTTTTGCTATGGTAGTAGCTTCTTGTTTCTAATCTTACAACCTATACCTGGTTGGTGGATATGTAAATAATTTGATCTCAATATACCAGAATGGATCACACAGTCACCACGTAGGGCACAGAAAGGCACTGCTCAAAGGAAACATGTTTTGTCTGGCTATGATGACAAGTGACTATTATTGTCTTTCTCAACACAATTGATAAAGATGATTCAGAGCAAATGTTACAATAGCACCTGTAGGCTCTCAGAAAGCTACCTTCAGATTCTAGGTGGTTTGCGGGTCAGAATCCTCTCTCAACTATACTTCCACATCCCTACCAGTATGTTCACTTTTCTTAGGTGGAGGACACATTTAGTTTAAAGCAAAGGCAAAAATGAAATAGCATAGTAACATAATCAAAACAAACAAAAATGAAATAGCATAGTAACCTAATCCCTTCCTTAAACTTGGAACTCATTCTTCCATAAACATATACAGTCACACTGAGAAGAATGAATGTACATAGGGCTCATACATGGGATACATATACGGAGGAAAACATCCATGGCCACAGCATGCACACAGAAGTGTAATTTATACCAATAAAGCTGTAGAACTACCAAAAGTCTTCCTATAATATCATCACATGTCTACCTACTGAGCTTGCTCCCTGCTAAGTTTTGTTTCCTGTTCTCTCCACTGAATGTCATACCTCCACTCCAGCTAATCTTTTGTTATCCAGTTATCCTCAGAATCACTTAATACTCTGTGGGCCATATAGTCAGGATACTGTGGTTACTAAGACTCTCCCCTGAAGGGGAGGGGTCAGAGTTCTGTCAGTCAGGTCTTTCAGTCTTCTGCTGGTCCTTAACTAATCATCCAGCTAAGTTCTATCTTGAGGTCCACCAGACATTTTGTCCACCATCTACTAAGGAACGTTGTTGCTAGATAATCATCTTTTCTTCAGGAGAGGGCTTCAGTTTTTCCATCTAAGGGCTGTAATGTTCTTCTTCTTAACCATCGTGGTCGCAGAAAGTAGGGGATGCCCAGGACAAGATTATTCATCTTGACTCAAGTCTCCACTCTTTTTTTTCCCTTCTCTTTGACAGCCACTCTCCTATCCCGGATATACTTCGAACCTGAGGCCCCACTCTCCTGACTGGTGATTGCTACTCAGACCATTATTTCAGAAGGAGCCTGAGTAATGCTTCACTTCATTCCCAACTCTCTCTTCCTCTCTACCAGCCAGTTTGCCCCCTGAATTCCACCTCTCCCTCTGCTTTTCAGCTCCCCTACATGTGTGGTCTTCCCTCATTAAGCTCCTTAAAGGTTGCTTTGCTTGCTTTTGTTTCATCAGTACTTAACGTAATGTCTGACATATGAGCACTTAATAAACGCTCACTTGATCTGTCTGTCAATTTATCAATCATCTGTGTATATTCTTTGAACTCCTCCCTCCTCTATCGTCTCCTTAGACTCCTTCAATCACAACTCTTATCCAACTTTTCCAAAATCCATTTAGTTCTTTGCTCTTATCTATACTCATCCCAGTTAGGGCAAGTATCCCCAGGGGCCTATTCTTAAATGAAATTGTGGTGACTGAGAAGTGATTTCCCCCCTATTATATTAATAACCATTTATTAAATTAGGAGTAAGGTTTTTTCCCTTTATTTCCTCATTCAGGGACCAGCCCCCATAGGTCATTTAGCTAGTCTCTGAAGGACAAGGCTGACAGATGAGGTTGCCCAAATCCTTCAGAAACATGCTCCTTAGTCCTGGGCATGACTTCATCCAACCGGAATCTAATTTAGATGCATCCCAGCCCTAAAGCATTAAGCCCCTGGCTTGCACTGTTCCATTGGGGTTTAGGCTAAAAACCAACCAGAGTGGTCTGGGTAGAAATGGATTCCTTTTTCCAGATTGCTGGAGGTGGCTGAGTCTCATGATCAAACCACATTCTTAGCAGTTGGAGCTGAAGACTTTTAGCCCACCTCCTCATTAATATGTCCACACCCATTAATTGTTCACCAATCAGGGCTGATTTTCACTGGTCAGGGGCACTTCCTTTTCCAAAGTGATTTAAGTATTCAGTGGTATCTCTGTGGTTTTGTCTCTGGTTACCCAGAGAGACCACTGACCATCAATTTATTGATTACCAGCTAGCTTAATTGATAAAATTGATTACTAATTACCCAGAATTGGTAATTAATTTTTAACAGTGCTTTCACCTTCTGAGTCCTTGCAATGCCATTGTAAGGACCATTTGCTGTAGTTCAGTCATTTTTCAGTCATGTCTGACTCTGGCCCCATTTGGAATTTTCTTGGCAAAGATACTGGAGTGGTTTGTCATTTCCTTCTCCAGCTCATTTTCCAGATGAGGAAAATGAGGCAAACAGGATTTAGTAATTTGCCCAGGGTCACACAGTTGGGTCTGAGGCTAGATTTAATCTCAGGTCTTCCTGAATGTAGGCTTGGGCTTTTAATTCATCTAATGAGGAAACTATTTTCTACCTTACCCCATAAGACAACCTCCTGGGTTGCAGTGGATGGAGCTCCAGCCTTAGAGTCAGAAGGACCTGAGTTCAAATCCAGCCTCAGACACTTGACACCTACTAGCTGTGTGACCCTGGGCAAGTCTCTTTACCCTGATTGGCTCACTGAAAAAAGTAAAAACCAAACAAACAATAACAACAAAATCTCCTTTATTTTATGCAAATCACAAAGGCTGGGCTGGCTGGAGGAAAGTGAAAAGGCTAGTTCCACTTCTCCCATCCCTCTGCTCTATCACAAACCACAGCTTAATCTCTCTACAATTTCTCCACGCAACTGCAAAAATCAATTAATTTATCCTAAATGTACCCCCTCAACTCTACTGAATTATGAAAAAAAAATTCTTCAGGTGAAATCTGATGAAAAGAAAAAATATTCAAAAAAAACCTTACCACATTGGTTTTAACTCTGAAATTAGAGTAACAAACTCAAAAGTTTACTTACTTCCTGGTACCAGTTCAAAGTAGGGTCTTCCTTCCTCAATCGACATGTTAGCCAATTTTCCTTCTATCAACTCTCCATCTATGAATTTCCCATAAACTGTGGTCCTCCCATCAGGGTAGACATAGGCTATCTTGTCGCCAGTCATTTCCCCTTCTTCATTAACTTCTCCTACCAGAGTACCTCCATCCTGGTGGCAGAAACCAAAAAATGAGAAACGTTATATATAGGCATAATAAGAACAAGATCTTTCTTCACCCGCTCCTCTGCCCAGTTTATTCCTAATTTTAATGAATCATTGTCCTTACAGAGACAGCTAGATGGCACAGTAGATACAGTGCCGGGCCTACATTCAGGAAGACCTGAGTTCAAATCCAGCCTCAGACCCAACTGTGTGATCCTGGGCAAATTACTAAATCCTGTTTGCCTCATTTTCCTCATCTGGAAAATGAGCTGGAGAAGGAAATGACAAACCACTCCAGTATCTTTGCCAAGAAAATTCCAAATGGGGCCACAGAGTCAGACATGACTGAAAAATGACTGAACTACAACAAATGGTCCTTACAATGGCATTGCAAGGAATCAGAAGGTGAAAGCACCTTTAAAAATCAAACAAACAATTCATCATCTGAAGTACATATGAATGGAGAATATTAAGTGTTAGTAGGTATAAGAATACAAGAGGGCAGAGGAATAGAAGAGAAACCTGGCAGAGAGATGGGGAGGCTCAAAGTTCTCAACTGGCTCAGGTAAAAAATTAGCTACAATTTTAGTAAAGTCACTTGCAACCTATTACAGTTTGTCTGTGAACAGGAAAAGGTAAGGTGGGGAACCTGTATGGCCTCGAGACCTAGAGCTGGAAAGGCCCTTAAGAGATCATCTCTTCCAACCCCCTCATTCTACAAAGGAGGAAAACGAAGCCCAGTGAAGTTTAGTGATGTTCAAGGTCATGTATCTATTAAGTGGAAGAGACAAGATTTTAACCCAGGACCTCTGACTCTGAATTTCAGAAGGTGAAAAAGTGACTACAATGAAAAATGTTCCCAAATTAACATATAATGTAGGTCCACAATATATGATGATAGCCATGATTTATTGTTACTTATTTTCCTCTTCTCTCCCACCTACCCCCAGTACCCTCCCCATCCTATATCTATCAAACTTTGGAGTTAAGGGCTGAGAAGATTGTAGGATTGTAGATTTAAAACTTGAAGGGATCTTAGAAGGCCGTCTAGTTCATACTCCTAATTTTACAGATGAAGAAACTAAGGCTCAAGAAGGCTATAAGAGTTGCCTAGGTGAAACAGCTAGTGGCGCAGTGGATAGAGCACAGGCCCTGGAGTCAGGAGGACCTGAGTTCAAATCTGGCCTCAGAAACATAACACTTCCTAGCTGTGTGACTCTGGGCAAGTCACTTAACTCCAATTGCCTCAGCAAAAAAAAAAAAAAAAGGAGTTGCTTGGGGTAACACAGATAGTAACAGAACCAGGATTTAAACCCAGGTCATCTGACCACAAAGTTCCACAAGATCCAACTTATCTCAATCTAATGCCATTTTGCAGAAATGTGGCTGCTTGCTTTTTATAAGGCATCTAGCATAAGAGTTTCTAGACTCATTTTCTATTTTTTTGTGAGAATGCTAACCCATAAGACATAGCCCTATTGGGAGGAAGACAAAAGAAACCCTCCATCTCCTTTTCACTCTCTTCCCTCTTGCTCTCAATTGTCCTGTTTCCTGCTCTCCACTTCTGCCTCTTCCCTCACCCTATTCCAGTGGAGGAGCAGGCTTTGTTTTGGGCCTATTTCACTTGAGTAAATATTTCGCCCCCCCAAAGATAACTGTGGGAAGGATTGGGGGAATAGGTTACTTCCGTATACTCCCTAATGTAAGTATACATACATATGGTGGTGTCCCAGGTGAACTGAGGAGATAAAAAATAAAGAGCAGTCTGGGTCAGAGGTGTCTATATTGTGTGTGTGTTTTAATCCATAATGCTCCTAGAGTGATAGTTTTGGAATAACTGCAGGAATACAGAAAAGAAGATCTTTGAAGTTTTGATATAAACAATAGTTCTGTCATGACGTCTTCCAGAAACTCGGTTATTTCCCCCAACTCAAAGCTTCTGAAAAAAAATTAAAAGGTTCTGCAGCCTGAAGAGCTTTCTGCACAGGGTTACTTTCTGAGTATTCCCACAAGTACTGGTGACGGAAGGGCGGCAAGAAGAAACAAATGGAAGGTCTGAGTTATCTGCTCAGTACCATTCAAACCAAGAGGTCTCCAAATACCCTAGAAAAAACATAACACTTCCTTGAAATGAAATACTTTTTATGTTCTGGAAATGGATCAGAAACATCTTTTATGCTCTTTCCTCCCTGCTAGCTTATTCCTAATTATACTAAAAACATTAGCACAGTACAAAAGGGGATAATAACACCTTTAGCACTGCCTCCCTTCCAGGAGAGCTGTGAGGATTACTGAGACAAGGGTTGGTAAAGTACTCACTCTCCTTAGACAAGAGATTCTCCACAAATGCATGTCATTCATGTGGTTTTTAAAGAGACATCTGCTCATGTTCTGGACATCTTTCATTTTAAACTTTCACCTGCTTCTTGTTTATGCATTTGTCCAGTTGGATGGTATCTGGAAGCTTCTGTTTTTGTGAGGGAAAATGGAAAGTTTTGACTTCTTTCTTTATTGAAAATAAGGGGGCAGCTAGGTGGCGAAGTGGATAGAGCACTGGCCCTGAAGTCAGGAGGACCTGAGTTCAAATCTGGCCTCAGACCGAACACTTGACACTTATTAGCTGCGTGACCTTGGGCAAGTCACTTAACCCCAACAGTCTAAAAAAAAACCCCCAAAACAAAAACAAGGCCAAAACTTGGGGGCAACTAGGTGGTACCGTGGATAGAGCCATCCCTGGAGTCATGAGGATTTGAATTCAAATTCAGCCTCAGACACTTACTAAACTGTGTGACCCTGGGCAAGTCACTTAACCTGACTACCTCCAAACCATGCTCCCCCCTCCAAAAAAAACCCCAAAACAACAAACAACTTGTATGACAGTTCCAAAGTTTATAATATCATCAATTTAGAACAGGAAGGTAATGTCATTAGTCATTTACTCTCTCTGTTTTACAGAAGAGGAGACTGAGGCCCAGAGAGGTTGAGTGACTTGCCTAAGGTCACACCCAAGTGAGAGAATCTAGGCTTTCTAACTCCAAATCCAGCACTCATTCCATGGCACTACATTGTCTCAAGGAAAACCCAGTGGATAAAAAGGATTCTCCAGCTTGGATCTCCTTTAGGTATACTTGGTCCAATCAAGTTGCTTTCTGTCTTTGTTTTCTTTAATGCCCTTTTTACCTTCTTTTTTTTTTTTAAGGCAATTGGGGCTAAGTGACTTGCCCAGGGTCACACAGCTAGTAAGTGTCAAGTGTTTGGTCTGAGCGCAGATTTGAACTCAGGTCCTCCTGACTTCAGGGCCATTGCTCTGTCCACTTCACCATCTAGCTGCCCCCCTTTTTACCTTCTTAACAAATACATCTGTGATGTTGCAGTCCATGTGTTGGGGCTTTATTGTCCTTGGTGGTGAAAAAGTTTCTCCTAAAGCACTTTTGCTGATCTTTCTATTTTTCTTCTTTTCGTCCTTTTAGAATTTCCATCCTTAAATGCCCTCAGGATAGCTTTGCTTAGTTAGGGTCTCACCAAGCTTTCTTTACACTGGTTTTGCTCTCTGCTGCTTCTGTTTTAATAAGTGACTTTGTTGTTGTTGTTGCTGTTATGGAGGCTTGTCTGACTCTTTGTGACCCCCATTTGGGGTTTCCCTGGCAAAGATACCGCAGTGATTTGCCATGTCCTTCTCCAGCTCATTTTACAGATGAAGAAACTGAGGCAAACAGGGTGAAGTGACTTGCCCAGGGTCACACAGCTAGTAAAGCGTCTGAGGCTAGATTTGAACTCATGAAGATGAGTCATCCTGATTCCAAGCCTAGCGCTCTATCCACTCTCTATGCACCACCTAGCTGTCCATGGTAAGTGATACCGTGCATAATTTTCCATCTTCCTCCTCTGTAAGATTTTACAAATGAATTGATATTCTAAACTAGTGTTGATTTTGGTTACTACCTTTCTCCCTTTGCAAGTGTCTGCTAAAGCACTTTTTTGGTCTTCTTGTTATGATGATGATGATGATGATGATAGTTAACATTTATATAGTGCTTATTCTTCCTGACTCCAGGCCCAGTGTCTTATCTACTGTGCCATCTAACTATTATCTATCAATCTATCTGTAATATATATATGTGTGTATACACACACATACACACACACATACTTACATTAGTTAAGCTTCAGTATGGAATTTGGTCCACAGACCATTTTTCTTTATCAATAACTTGGTTGACTACATAAATATTGAATTGTTTCAATTGCACCTGGTGACTTTTTTCTCACTTTCATTCTTTTTCTAGCTGTGTATTCATTTTGATCTTTACTCTAACAAGATGATAGTCTGAAAACATGTCTGATTGAGGAATGACCATAACCTCAAAAATAATTTGTTGCCTATTTATTAAAATACCCATTTAATTTTTTGTAATGTCATTCTGTGTTGGCCCTCACTGATGACCACTGGCTCTTTTCCTGAAGTATTCACAAGCTTAGGCTCGAGACTTCCATGTAATCTTCAAGTCTTTGGGCTCTTTCATTCCTTATTCCTAATCCATGCTTTGCAATCTATTTCTTTCCATACTCATTTAGTCTCAACTTTACATTGAAGTCATTGAGTATTGCACAGTGGAAAAGGCACTGGCTCTGGGTTCAAATTTCACCACTCTTGCTTCCCTATGTGGCCCTGTACAAGTCACTAATACTCTGTGGACCTCAGTTTATTCATCTATAAAATCTCAGTCTTTGACCATAGCAACCATGACATGAAGAAAAGTACAAGATGGCCCCAGACCCATAGGGCTCCTTTCTGTTTTTTTTTTAATTCTTTTTTTTTAGGCGATTGGGGTTAAGTGACTTGCCCAGGGTCACACAGCTAGTAAGTGTCAAGTGTTTGATCTGAGGCTGTATTTGAACTCAGGTACTCCTGAGTTCAGGGCAGGTACTCTATCCACTGCACCACCTAGCTGCCCCTCCTTTGTGTTTCTGCAGGGATGGTGACAGGAGGTGGAAAAGGGGGCAGAGGAGGGGCAGCTAGGTGGCACAGTGGATAGAGCACCGGCCCTGCAGTCAGGAGGACCTGAGTTCAAATCAGACCAAACACTTGACACTTACTAGCTGTGTGACCCTGGGCAAGTCACTTAACCCCAACTGCCTAAAAAGAAAAGAAAAGAAAAGAAAAGGGGGCAGAGGCTTCTAAGAATGATGAAGTTTATAGGCTATTTAAAAACTGTAATTTGGTTGTTGATACTCCAAATGCGAGATCCCTGTCCAATGAACAGTGAATGAATGGAGTGAGTATTGCAGGAACCAAACATATCAAATCAATCTTGACATTCTTGTTATAAATGAAATTAGCAGGAAATTGCAGCTAAATGTAAGGGTGATTGTATTAAATGGCCTCTGGGGTCCCTTCCAGCTCTACATCTGTGATCCTCTCAATAGGATCCTCCCAGGCTAATTTAATTTGGAGGGCATTATCAAGTTCTTCCTAGAATTTCTCTACATCTTCATCCTCTGCAAGAGATGTTAATGCATAAACTACAACTGTTTTCACAATGGTCCTTTTGCAAATCCTTATCACAAGAGCTGGAATATGAGATGGCCAAATGTCTCATGTGATGCTGCTTCTTGTTACCTTCAGATATACGATAAGCCCAACTCCGTGGATTCCTTTATTTACCTCTCAAAGGAGAACCTGTGAATGACCTTCCCATTTGGCTGCAACTTCCTTCTGGTTTCATTTTTATAACAAGCATATCAAGATTGGATTGATTCAGTTCTGTCAGCGTTCTGGTCACTCACTGGTCACTGGACAGGGATCTCAGTATGTTATTGTTCAGTTGTTTCAGTTGTGTCTGAATCTTCATGACCCCATTTGGGGTTTTCTTGGTAAAGATACAGGCATGTTTTGCCATTTCCTTTTCCAGCTCATTTGACAGAACTGAGGCAAACAGGATTAAGTGACTCACCCAGGATCACATAGCTAGTGTTGGAGGCCAGATTTGAACTCATGAAGATGAGTCTTCCTGACTCCAGGCCTGGCACTCTATCCACTGTGCCACCTAACACCCCATATGAAGTTTATAAACTAACTAAAAAGTGTTATTCTCATCATTCCCTGCCCCCTTTTCTATCACTTTGTCACAAAGGGGGAAGAAGAAGGGGGCCATATAGGCCATTTTGTACTTTTCTTCATGACATGGGTTGCCATGGACAAATAATTCGTCTCCAAATGACCTAGTGGGGACCTTCTTTGTACTTAGCAAGGCTGATCTTCAGAAAGCAAACTCAAAACTTTTCCAACATCTCAGAATCTATCAGAGACTACTCTCCACTGACATAACTTTTAGGACCCCAGGGTAATCTCCACCCCATAATGAGGCATCAGTATAGAACTTTGCCGAGCAAATGTGAACTATTATTAAAATGATTAAAATAGTTATTTGTGTGCATTTCTTATCTCCCCTAGCAGACAATAAGTATTATGAGGGCAAGTACTCTATGCCTTATTCTTCTTTGAAACCCCAAAGCACTTAGCTTCCACATGATTGGCTTTAACAACAGAAGGACCAGATGCATCACTGGATGCAAAACATTATAGTTTAACTTTTAAATAAAAATTGTCATCCTATTAGTTCTATTTTCTTTGCCTTAGGGATAAAAAAAATGTACCACATACATGGACATAGCTTGGTCCTTTGAGGTAGTCTTAAATTCTGGTCCTTCTAGTATTAAACAAATGTTTGTTTAATTTTTTTTTTTAAATGAATCTTAGCAGCTCTATTAGCACAATGAGTCATGACTGAGGTGATCAGTCATTGTATACCAGTGAAGATACCTTTCAAGATTTTGGCAAGCATCTCCCACACTAAGGACACTGGGCTAAAGAGTCAGAAGACTTGGATTTCAGTCCTATTTCTGATTAATCATTGTGGGCAATTCATTTAATCACATGGGGCTCAGGCTTTTTCTATCTACAAAATGAACATATAGATAGGACTAGATGAAGGCATTAAGGTGCCTTCAACTGAATCTTATGATTGAACCTATTTAGCTCACCACACATTTATTCAACATCTAATAAGTACCAGCACTGTGGCTAGGTACAGAGAAATTCTTCTCCTCCCCCCCCCCAACCTAGCAACCCACCAAACAAATAATCCAGTCCCTGCTTTGAAAGAGCTTACATTCTATGAGGTGGGATTGGAGAAGAGGAAAGAAGAAATCCCGTAAAAACACAAAATAACTTCCTAGGAGAGGGCATCAGCAATTAGGGGAATCAGGAGAGGCTCTTTTTGGAGAAGGAGGTACCTAAGTTGAGCTCTGAAGGAAGCTGAGAGGTTCTAGAAGGCAACAGTGAAAAGGGAGATCATTCTTGGCCCAGGGGAAGGCCTGTGCGCAGGCAGGGACATCAGAGGCAGGATATCGTGGGGGGGGGGAAACAGCAGGCCAGTTTAGCCAGAACGTGGAAGGTGGAGAAGAGAACAATGCTAGAATCAAATGCTAGAAGTAGCCAGGAGCCAATGGGGAAGGACTTTAAAAGCCACACAGAGAAGTCTGTATATGAATTCATGAAGCTCTGCAATTAGTAGTCTTCCAATGGCTAGGCAAGAATGTCCCATACCCAACAGTGGATGCAAGAGACAAAAGGCTGGATTTCAGTCCTGACTCTGCTTCGTCCTAGAACATGGCAAGCTATTCAGTTCTTTTGAACCTTAGCTATAAAATGGCAATAACAGTACTTACACTACCTTATCTCACTAGGTTGTTGTGAGAAGTTGTGTGAAATGATGTATATAAAGTGTTTCATAACCGAAGAGGGCTACATAAATGTCAGTTGTGATCATCTGCCTGGACAGCAATGAAAGCTACTTATTTCTTGAGAAGGCTGGATTTTTCCAGGTCCGTGTGAATGTTTTGGTTCTTTAGTTATTTAATTTTTTTTTTAACAGAGCTCCCTCACATGTCATTTTTTCTATCCCCATTTCCAGGTCTGGGAGTAAAACTTAGAGGAATGGCGGTATGTAAATAGATTTAGGAGGGGCTACCAATCTTATTACTTGTGCTTGAGTGAATGTTCTCATCAAAAAAAAATCATGAAATAACAGCCTTCGGATGAAACGAAGGCATGATTTTATTTAGATTCAAATTCTAGACAAAATAAACTTTAAGATAAATTTTTTCAAAATCTATTCACTCAAAAGGCTTTCAGGAAAGTCACCAAATACAGCTGAGGTATCAGAAAAATCCAGACAGGGCAGCTTAGAGCAGTGATTTCTTGCCTGGTTTGGCCACACCCTGGAATTATTGTCTCTAATGATCTATCTCAAGCTATGCCAAGAAATTCTCCCAAATCACTGAAGGCCAAATGAATGTTAATTCTTTGAAACACACAAGTGTCACACAGCCCTTACATAAGACCTAGGATGGGCCTTGTGAAATCAAGCAATAAGAGTGAGGCAACTTGAAAAAGAAAAATCTCAGGCTTTTTCCTGGTCCACCAGAGACAGTTACAATAATGGAATGTGTCACTCTCACTTTCTCACCCCAACAGAGGTAAATCCAGAAAGTCAACCAGGCAAGGGAATGAAAAGCCTATTTAATTTGGGCTATTATATTAGTTATGAAATGAAAGAACTAATAGTTGTTATCATAAGCCACTTATTTCTAAAATATGTGTGTGAGACAGGCACTATGACAAGGTAGAGAGAATGCTGGAGTCAGGCACTTTGCTAAGAATTTTATATTACACAGTTGAGGAAACTGGGGCAGTCAGAGGTTAAGTGACTTGCCCAGGATCACATAGCTAGTCAGTGTCTGATGCCAGATTTGAACTCTGATCCTCCTGCCTCTGGCCTCAGTGCTCAATCCACTGGGTCACTTAGCTGCCTAGTTGGAAAGACCTGGGTTTGAGTTCCACCTCCGCCACTAGTTGATTACATGTGAACATAGGCAAATCACTTAGGCAACTAATACTAAGTTACTGACTAGTTATGATCTAAAATAGGCAAAGCAAGTTCCCACCCTAATGAAATTTTTAGTCCTTGATATACTGATGTTAAAATACAGGTTAAAAGTATTAAGTAGTCAAAATTTGAAGAGTTTGGAGTAGAATCACACTATATTGGTTCATTTATTAGTTAATATTAAATTTATAAAAATCACATAAAAATGTTATTTCTTAGCAAAGTTAACAATCATAAGGCTTACTGGGTAATATATCCAGCAAATTCCATGCCGAATATTATCTTTATATTGTCCCTTGAAGATCAGTCTCCCATCTGAGTCATACTCCTGGGCAGGTCCATTCAGTTCTCCATCTGCATAGGTACCCTTATGGACTCCTCCGTCCTCATATGTGTACACTCCCTGCCCCTGCAAGGCATCATCCACATAAAATCCTTCCAGTGTGCTGAGAAAGAAAGAGAGAGAAGGGTTCAACCCTCTATAGAAATTGGCACTGCACCAATTTAACTCCAGTCTCAACTCTTCAATAACTCTGCGTATGTGTGTTCAGTGATTATGTGTGTGTATGGGAATGTATGTGTGCTTCAATTCAAAACAGGCCCCATAATTTTCCTGGATCATCAGGGAAGATACAATTGATCACATAACCAAGATTAGAAATGGAGGGCTAGACTTAACTCTTGACTTCCTGGCTTCTGCTGTAGTCATTTCTGCTTTTCCTCTGAGGTAAAGTCAAGAGAAAGGTAAAGGGGCATGGAAAATTGGAGACCATCTCTAAACTTCAAGTGTGTCAGATTCCATACCCTTCTCTACCATTGCTGACGTCAAGGCAGGGATCTCCTTAGCACTCCCCTACCACCCATCCTCAAGAATGATGGCTTCCAAAGTATGGTCCAGAGTCTGTGGATTAGCCTCTGACTATCTTTCAAATGCTGTCTATAATGCATTACAGATGGTCTCTTGTAATATAGATGCTCACCATGGGAAAATGCCCAGATTTCTAGTTTGGGCATAAATTAATAATTCTTGACTTCTGTGATTATAGGAGAGATTTGTCATGGAATCTGAGCATCACCTGTCAACACAAGTGGGAGCAGGGATGGAGGGGTATGTGGGGGGGGAGGGGAAGGAGGGATGAAGGACACTGCCCTGACCCAGGTTGAATCAGAAGGGCAGAGTTTGAAAGTCATTGCTCCAGGACAGGAGAAAGATTACCAATGGTTACCATACAGAATTCACAGCATTCTTCTCCCTTACAATAATGGCTCACATGTGTATGATTTGCAAAGCACTTTTAAATATACTATTTCATTCACAAACACACCTAGACTCCAGAAAGTCAGAGCACAGAAGTATAAGGTCCCAGAAGAAATGTTTAGTATGTACTTGTCTCTAAAAAGGCAGAAAATCTTCCCTTTAACTCAGTTGACTAAAAAAAAAAATTCTTGTCCCTAATACAAGCCAATAAATCTTCAGTGACTTGGAGTAATTGTGGGGAAGGCCAGTTTGAATGAACAAAAGCCATGCATTTTAGAACTTTGAAATATTCTTAGGGAATTGCCTGGAAAGGATCAAAGATTTGGAGTTAGAATGGTCCTTTTGAGGACAATTAGTCCTTCTACTCTCATCCTCACCCTCATCCCTGCCCTCCTTTATTTTATCCTTCATTATTTCTGATTGGTCTCCTTTCCTCAAGTCTCCCCCACTCCAGGCCATTCTCCACTCATCTGCCAAAGTGGTCTCCCCAAAGCAAAAGTCTGACCATGTCACCACCACTCAATGAAGTCCAGTGGCTCCCTATCATCCTCCAGAATCAATTACAAAGTTCTCCATTTAGCTTCAGCAAGTGGCCCTTTCCTAGCTTTCCAGTCTTCTTACCCATTGAGCTGGCCACCCTGGCCGACTTTTGCTTCCTTGCACGCCACACTCCTCTCCATTCTGGGCCTTTTCACTGTCTGTCCCTTATAACTGGAATACTCTGTCTTCTCACTTCTACCCCCTGGCTCTCTTCAAGATTCACCTTCCATAAGACTTTCCCAGTCCCTCCTCTCTCTTCAACTGTGATTATCTCCCATTTACCCTCTCTATATCTTCTGTATACATTGCTGTTTGCAGGCTCTTTCACCACTAGAATCCGAGCTTCTTGAGGGCAGCGGCCATGTTTTTGCCTCTTTTTTTTTTTTGGTAGGGCTTAGCATAATGCTTAATAAATACTTGTTGATCGCTGATTGAGAGTCAATAGACTCACTGACATTAGGTTACAAAAAAAAAGAAGTGTTGCCCTTGTAAAGGTGTGGCATTAATGAAGAGATAAGAATGATTGGTATCAATCAACGACCAACATTTAAGTGGCTACCTTGTGCCAGGCACTGTGCTAAGCAATGGGGATTAAGAGGGGTTAGGGAAGGTTTCCTGTAGACCGTAGAACTTCAGTTGGGACTTACAGGAAGCCAGGTAGGTCGGTAGCTGGAGTAGGAGAGGGAGAGCCTTCCAGGCATGGGGGCAGGCAGAGAGAATGCCCACAGCCAAGGATTACAGATTTAGAGCAGGAAGGGACCCCAGAGGCCATCCGATCTGACCCCTTCATTTTACAGATGAGGAACCAAGGGTCTAGAGAGTTCAATAAGCTTGCTCAGGTAAGTAGGTCATTAACCTGGTGCTAACACATCAAGAAAGCAGCCTAACCAATGTCAGGCCTCTGTTCCCTGTTTGTATTTGTATGCTCAAGTATGTGAAAATCCCCCTTTCAAGCTTGTTTTCACTCTCAGTGAAAGGCCTGGCTTCTTTCGTAGAGCTCAGCTTCTGTCTGAAGGACAATAAATCTGGATTTGGGAAGTACTCATTAATGAAGCTTCCCTTGGATTTCTCCACAAAAAAAAAAAGGAAAAAAAGAAAAAAGTCTCTTGGGAAAGAGGCATCAAGAATCATCTGATTATACGATTAGGCCCCAAGTTATGCGAATTTCATGTATTTTTCACTTTAGATTTCAGTAACATTTAAAATTACTCTTCAAACAATCCTCAGAGCCCTTGGGGGTAACTTGGGATAATTTCTCACATTTTCACCTAACTAGAGAACTTTCACTGTCTTTTCCCACCCCATTTCACCAATGACGACTTCATTCTCTCTCTCTTTTTTTTTTTGGCTAGGCAATGGGGTTAAGTGACTTGCCCAGGGTCACACAGCTATTAAATGTTATGCGTCTGAGTCCGGATTTGAACTCAGGTCCTCCTGACTCCAGGGCCAGTGCTCTATCCACTGCACCACCTAGCTGCCCTGACTTCATTCTCTTTTAACAAATGTCAAAAGAGGCATATCTTGGAGCCAGGAAGACACAGGTTCAAATCTTGCCTCTGATGCCTACCACCCATGTGACCTAGAGTAAGTGATATACAACAACCTTCCCTGGGCTCCAAGTGTACTCACATGTAGAATGAGGGGATTGGACAAGACCACCCCTGAGGTTTTATCCAGCCCTATCTGTAATACTAGAATCTTACCAGTTGTTTGATCTGCAGTTGTGAAGAAAGTTTTCAACTAGGAGCCACACACACACACACACACACACACACACACACACACACACACACACACGCACACACGCACACACGCACACACACATACATAGTCCCAAAAGTCATGGTGCAGTTTTAAGCTTTGGAGACAGAATGCTGGGCTTGGAGTCAGGAAGACTTGAAAGTTCAAATCTGGCCTCAGACAGTGATCCTGGGCAAGTCACTTTAACCTCAGTTTCCCCATCTATAAAATGGAAATAATAATAATACCTACCATTATCAACAGAAATGAAGAAACTGGAAGAAGGGGTGGGTTTAGGGGGAAGATAACAAACTCAATTTTAGCTATTTTTAGTTTGAGGTGCCAGTAAGATACTCTGGTAGAAATAGGATGATATATAAAATAAGGTCTTGAGATAGGGGAAATAATACACAATAACATTATGATGTAATCTTTTGTTTATCCAAATACGTGAATGATGGACAAGTGTTTGTTTTGCCTTGTAGAGATTTATGTAGGAGTTGTGTATAGATGAGTGCTACAACCTTAAAGCAAACCCTCAATCTGAGTTTGAGATCACTGGGTTAGTTGCTTGAAACCCCATGAGAGAGTCCCTGGAATGCTGAGAGACCACAGCGGGGTCTGAATGATCTGATTTTCCAGCATCAAGAGCTGAACCAAACAAACTGTTTCTGAGCATGACAAGATGTTTCTTGGAAAACTGAAAGTGAAATTAAGCTTCATGTTATCCAGGCAAATGGAGCATCAGAATTCTTTTACATCTACTGATAATACTAAGAAACAGATCTTTTTTGTATTGTACATTGCGATTTTTCTTTTAACTTTTATCAGAGGTTGTGTGATTTTGTAGAAACTGACCTTCATAAAAGAACTAAACCTTGGATACAGCATCTGGAGGCCCATGTCTGACAATCTTCACACACCTGTTCATTCTGAAATCTTGATTTGTGAAAGCTCTTCTAATAATGAGGACCATCAGTTTCTTAGAATGCAACTTTTGTGTGCTGAACCCTCTGAAAGTCCAGTTAATCAATCTACCCAAATCGAGACAATGGATTTTAACTAATCAAACAAAAAACTATAGCAGAATTAACCCTACCATTCCTTTAACTTATCCAAAGTTCAGCCAGCAATTGAAATAAAAATGAAAATAAGGAGGGAATCACTGACTTCTCTCTCTACATAAAGGCTCCTGCCTGCTTTTATCAGAAGTTAAATATAAGAAAATATATTTCCTTTGACTAGGTCATAGCAAAGGTTGAATGCCTATTAGGGATAACATAGAAAAGATTTCCGTACTATATGGAAGCTTGAGCTAGGTGGTCTTGAGAATTCCTTCAACCCTGACTTAGACCCTGACTATGCTCATCACATAAAGCACCTTCCCTACTTTTGAGTAAGTCAGTCACTGCTACCCTTCAAGATATTAGGACAAAAATGACTGAACACAACACAATTCTCCCCAGTGGCTGTCTCTGCCTAGCAGAAGAATCACAGATTTAGAGCTGGGAAAGACCTTATATGTGAATTTTATAGATGAGGAAATGAGGCTTGGAAAGGTTAAGGGACTTGACTTCCTGGAGGGTACACAGGTTGTGGAAGAACCATGATCTGAACTTGGTCCTTGGTCTCCAAACCTAATGTTTTTGTCAATGTACCATAACGCACCACCAAAGGTGAGTGCCTAGGAGGATATTCACCCCAGGTTATTTTACCTGTGTAATATGCTAGAAAGTACCCTCCTGTCCTGAAGAAGTAAGGTATTCAATTTAACTTCAAGAAAAAACAACAATAATAATTTTGTTACTGATGGAATGGGGAATAATTCGAGTTGGTAAAGTATCAGATAATGCTTAGAAAATGTATTAGCATTAAAAAAAATTAATATTAAAAACTCATAAATAAATA